CCGTAAAAAGAATTAATACTTAAAGTGAAAGATCAGGTGATATGTACTCGAGAACAAGTTCCCTCAGATTATCAGTTTATCAGTTTCAGAGAATCTGATATGTTTAGTGGGTCGCTCCCCTGAGCTGTCGGATTGGTGCCTTTGAGTACATATCACCGGCCCACAGTAAAAATTAGCCACAAAGAGTTTTACAGTAAAGTTTATGAGATCTCTTTCAGAAAGTTTTACAGAAAGTTGTTTTTGAGATCTCCTTCAGAAAGTTTTACAGAGATGTTTTGAGAAATAAAATTTTGAGATCTCTCCAGTAGTTTTGAGAAATTATTTTAGAAAATATTTTCTTTTGAAATCTCTCTCAGAATTTATTTGAGAATCTATTTGTTCGTTGTATGTTTAGTGCATGCTTATAGCCTAAAATTATCTATTGATAAATTAGCATAGACTTCTCAGATATTTTTGTGGATCCATAGTGACTTACTAAGCGTAAAGCTTATCAGTTTTCTTTCTTAGCATGTACAGATACTAAAGGTAAGGCCAAGGCTTAGGAAGATGATGAGAGAGTGCAACACGTGCCAAAATGAGTTAACAGGAACGACCTTGGCGGCTTCTAGCTAGTTATTATTTTATTTAAGTATTTCAGATGTTATAATAAAGTGATTATTATTACTTTATTTTATTTGAGAATTTGAAGTTTTAGTAAATTCCTGGATCTAGGTGGTTATCACATTTGCTGGTGATAACTAGATTTTATTGAGTTTTATTTAGAGTTATATTTTAGTTATATTTGAGATTTTATCAGGGTTATTTCTTAAATAAACGGCTGTTATATTGCAGTTTTTTTTTTAAAGTAGTAAGTTTATGTAACGTTTCCTTTAACCCTGAGAGGGGCGTTACACACCCGGTGGGGTAAATATCTACAATTGGTTGATCGATCCACCTAATCCCATTCATGTACAACTACCCTCAGACGACCTCCCTTTGGACCTTTTGGATCACCAAATCGGTGATGGACACCATTATTGTCTCCCCGGGAGAATACCACTTCATTACGAACCAGAACAACCCCAACAAGAACAGCCTGTAGACGAATCACCCTTCATTCCTGAACAACCTCAACCACAACCCCATGCTCATCAATATTCCCCATTTGAGCAAGAAATGCTAAATATCATGAATGATCTTAAATCTTAAAATCAACTACACTCGACTTCAGGAGGAAGTCGTGTTGTATAGAAATGAGCAGAGACAGAGTTTCGAAAGGATAGAAGAGCAACGGCGAGAAGATTGACGCATACATGAAGAGGACCAACGGAGAACCTTTGGTCCGATATACTCTTACGTGACACACCAGGGTGCTTTTGCCTCTATGACCACTCCCCCTCCCGCACCCTCATGGTATGATCTCACTCAGTGGGGTTACTTTGGAGGATCGAGCTACGGTGGTGGAGGCGGGGATGACGAACACGAAGGTGATAACATGGATGAGGACACACACTTCACAAGCTACCAAGGATATGGAGGATTCTATGATGGCGGAGATGCAGGCTGGTACTAGGGGCAGTGCCAGGTGCTAAGTGTGGGGGTGTGGACATTTTTCTAGTATGCTCACAATCCTACTCTTTTCATTCATATTTTCTTAAAAAAAAAGCTTGTTGAGTTGAAAACCCACAAAGGGCAACTCAAGAAAAAATAAAGCATTAAAATAAGAGTGAGGTTGTGAGAAATAAAAAAAATGTGGGAAGTTGAGATGAAAACCTGAAAGGACACCTAAACAAAATGAGAGAATGAGAGAAAATCTTTTTATTTTGAAGGATCCTGGAGGTGACAAACTTAAGAAAAAGAAATGGAGATAACAATGCAGTTGAAGACCCCTTCTTACTCTATTCACTGTTTGGGGATGCTTTGTAAAAGATTTTTGTTCTTAAAAATTCGTGGATTTTTATTTTATCATTTGGAGGACTGTAACGACATGATCTATTTTACTCGAGACGAGTAAAAGTTCAAGTGTGGGGGTGTTTGATATGCACTAATTAGTAGTACATAAATGTTTGTTTTTATATTTGATATGTGTGGATTCTTTCTCTTTTGTATGTAGTTGTAGACATTTGCGTAAATGTGTTTGTAATTGTTTTTAGCTTCCATTTATAGTTATAGAATAGTGGTAGAAGTTTTTAGCAAGAAAAAGGAGAGAAAAACTGAAGACAAAAAGGGCCAGGAGCACAATTCCGACCGGGTAAGACCCTGAACTTGGTCGGGTCTGATCCAACAACCGTAAGTGCCTGGAAAGTGCACTCACCCGGTCGGATCCCCTACCTCACATGGTCGGGTCTGACTTGACCTGGGACACTTTAACATGCCAAAGATTACCAGAACGTGGAGGATATTTGATTTTGACATGCACCCGGTCGGGTGGGCACTTTACCCGGTCGGGTACTGATAAGTCTGATTTGTTCATATATTTTCACTCACTTTTTATAGCGTTTCTTGTCAAACTCGGGGCAAATTGATACATTTTTCTGTAGTTTTGTTGCATTTTTGTTAATGTTTGAAATTAGTGTTGAAATTCCATTTTTGAGTGATTTGTGTTTATTTCAAGTGTTTGAATTGATTTTATGTTTTTTTTTCTATTTGAGTTATTTATATTTTGTAATTGGTCAAATTTCAATATCATATTATATTTCAATGTTTGATTTTTACAATAAACATATGAAGTTAAGAAAACAAAAATAAAAAAGAATGTGAAAACCAAAAAAAATGCAGCAAGGCTGCGTGACAAAAAAAAAAGCAAACAAAAGAAGAATAAGTGGAGTACAAGGAGCCAACAAATCAAAGGAGATGGGATCTCTCCTAACTTGTGATCAGCCGCAAGAAAAGAAGGCAAGTCGGCAGCCAAAAAAAAGCAGCACATGGTTACGGCCAATTCAAAATCAAAACAGCAAAAATAGGAAGCTACAATCAACCAGCTGCAAGGAGACGGGATGGGCAGCCAAATCATTTGCTGGGAAGAGCAATAAAAGGTCGGTAGTAGGAAAGAAAAGAATCAACACTTGCAGCTCTTGGCCGCAGGGCAAGGGCAGAACTGCTCTTGGCAGAAGAAGCTAAAAAATTGCAGATTTGGGATTGAAAAAATAATCCACTTGCGAGAGAGGGAGAAGCTGGCCTAAAGGGAATTGACACCCGCAGCTCTTGGCAGCAGGGTAAGGGCAGTTCTTGGCAGAGTAGAATCAAGATAGCAGCTGGCCGGAAGGGAAGAAACGCAGGATGAAAACCGCAGCCAGCTTATCCATGCCCATTCATCTTTCAATCTTAGTTATTAAGGTTTTGTGTTAAATTTCTTCTTTAATTTCATGTTTGAATAAGCTTTAATTTCACTCTCGGATTATTTATCATTTGGAACTACTCTTAAGTTGGATTTTGAACTATTATTATGTTGAATGAATTCGTATTTGAATTATATGTTTCCTTGTATTACTTTAGCTCCTCCATTAATTGTATTAGTTTCTTGATAATTATGTTAGGCTAAATTTTCATGGGGTTTGGATTTGGATAAAGTTAAGGTAATGGGTGTTCTTGAATATTGAATTAAATTTAGGAAGTTTCTCCAATTTTTAGGACTACTTGTTTGAGATGAAATGAAAGAGTAATTTGTGAAATTGATCACTTCACTTTTGAATGTTTGGAAAATTGATTCTTGCTTGTCTATGAGTGTAGAATTAATTTAGCTCACATCTCACACACCCTAAACTAAGCCTAGAAATAGGACATGTTAGGGGAATTAAAATCAAGTTCTTGTCTATGAGAATTAATATGTCACTATTCTTAGATTTGAGAAATTATTCCTTTTTTTGTTCATAATCCAAAGACACCCAAGATCCTTAATTCCAAATCTAAACCCCCATTTTAATTAGTTAATTTATTGTCACTATTCACATTAAATTTACTTTTTATTATTTTATTTTTGAAACTTTACTCATCCACAAGTTTGCTAGTTTAATATTTTAATTAGTTAATATTCTCTCTCAAGTTATTTTGCATGTTCACTAGTTTTAGTTTACGCATTAATGCCGTTTAATTAAATTATTCATTACTACTTTTGTTGTTTATTTTTATTTGCTTAATCATTATAATAATTAATCGTTTGAGAAAGCTTGCAATGACTCGTACTAACCGGTGACCGATATTGAAACCAACACTTCACTCCGCCACTCCTGAGAGACACGATACTCGGGGATAAACTTTTCCATACGGAAGGGTTAAACTCCGTTTTACTACAACGCCGCGAAAGCGGGTTATCAGGTACCCGGCCAAAGGTGTTGTAAAGCACCTATAAATAGCCCCATTTTCCTTCACTTTTAATCATCCCTTCTTCTATACTCCTAAGCTCAGTTTAGAATAGCATTTCTTATATTTTATAGCATGTTTAGTCTCCAAATGAGGAGCTAAACTTCCATTTCTTGGTTTTGCTCTTGAAGCTTGTTGATTATTAAAGTTGTGAGTTATTTTCTTAACTTCTTCTCTTGATTATTAATTCTTCCCTTAATCTCATTCTATATTAATGTTGGAGGGTTGCTAAGTGACGATTAGTTAACGTTCCGACATTAATTACTACTAGAAACGATCAACGAACCGATGGTTAATCGTTGGTGGTTTCACAAGTAAGTAACTTCGGTTTATTAATGCACGGTCGTGGTTAATAGACTTAACAGGGATCAATTTTGTTGGTTAAACCGAAATCGTTGTGTTGAGGTTATCAATCTCAATTGATTTCATCAAGGAGTTAAAAAGATTGAATGCTACTATTATATCGGTATACGGCATTGTTCTTCTATATTTGATTAAAAGTAACGGTTATTAATGAACGGTCGTTGTTAATGACTACCCTCGATGAATTGGAGATACTCCTCGATTGAGTATTCAAGAGGGGATAAGTTATAGATATAACAAGGATCGACTAAAATATATCAACAAGTGGAAAGTAGCAAAGTCAAGTCCCTTTTATTCTTGAATTAAATCTCATATAAGTCGTTCATCTTAGTTTCTGATTAAATCAAATCATTCAATCCAAATCCCTCCCTTTTTTTACATAGTTTTATAAAAAGAGAAGTATTCCTTTCCCTGTGGATACGAACTCTACTTCACCTATACTACGTATAAGTGTTAGTATCGAATTATTTTGACGCACCGTGACAAAGTGCTCGTCATGACATTGACTCCAACATGTTTTGCTTTACATAATTTAAGCAAGCTAGTACTGCCAGTAGTAAAAGCAAGAAGAATAAAATTGATAATACAGAAAATAGCAGTATTATGGTCCGGTGGAAACGGTGTGAAGGGTGCCTCTTAGTGCTGTTGGGCTTCCTTATTGATACATCGATTGGTTGAGAACCTGCGAGAAATGTTTGAAGCTCAGGTGATATATACGAAATTGCTCTAAATATGACTAAAATATAGATAATGTTCATAGAATTTTTATGTTTTATTTTTAAAATAGGATTTAATAGGAGTGAATGAGTCATATTTTAGGAAGAAAACAGTGATGATTTCATTTGTGTTCTTTGTTAATGTTTTTGTTTATTTATAAAATTTCTTATAAATGAGCATTATTTTTGTATCCCTAAATATGACAATATACTATTATAAGGGTCAAATAGTTTTCAAGTTTGACACTAATTATATTACTCGTATTTATGCAATAAAATCATAATACTCCTATATACGGAGTATTTCTTATACAAAAATGACAACGCAAGCATACCTTCAGTATAACAAATTAACAATGCTACATGAAATCATAACACAAAATTTTAACGGACTGAAGAGTACGGCAGGGCATCCATATTCCATACCACTCCAAAAGTGCTTTATAAATCTTTTCGTCTTAAGATTATTATATAATATTCATATAATCTGCGTTGATGTAAAGTAAATATGAATTGATAGAAATGGAAGGATCACGTCAATTTAAGATTAAAAAGTATATAATTTCCCACATTAGGAGTGAATAAATCCTAGCTATTTTAAGAAAAAAGTAACGCATTATTGAAAATAATGCATAATCTTATTAGGAGTCAATTAGTCTTGTATATGCACTTTGTTTAAGTTCTAAAGAGTCTTCTCACTAATTATTTAAACATAGACTTACAGTCGTATTCGGTCCATCCGATCCGTTGATTAGTTAAATCGTAAACAACGATCTTATCTTTGAGAAGAAGATCTGCAAATTATATTGCATAATTAAATAAATAAGTTAATCAATAAATATAACATAATAGACAAACATTATTATGAACTTATGAAGGGATTATGGAACTACATGAAAATGCATTAAATATCGTACATAACACTTCATGTTTACCTCCTAAGACAGAAATTTTTTCGGATTTTAAAAATCCCAAGCACCAGTGACTAGTTCCATCCTGTTAGAGCAGCATATACAATTACACGCTTCATGAAAACCAAAATACATATAGCTAGGAAACCAAAATACAATAACTAAAAGACTTTAATTTTCCATATAAGATCAAAGTAATTATTTCACATATAGAAAATGATCAAACAGCCGGCAGCTTACCACCGAATCTTGATGTATAAGGTAGTCTATAGGCTTGAGAATCATTGATGCACCCCCAGCAAAATTTAAACGGATAGATGGAAAAATGGTAAAAACACTACATAAACATATAAACATAAAAAATTAATCAAATTAAATTAAATGACTAACAAATATTACATAAATAAATAGATGTAATAGAGAGGGGTACCTGGATGTGGAGGAATAACATGGCCTACCCTCGCCATTATAGATATGCACATTACTTGACAAAACTTGGTTGATCTATGTGACAAGAATAATATATAGTCATTAGTCAATATACTCTTCAATTCATTCATAACATTAATAATGTGACAAGAACAATAGTCAATATACTAGTCAATATACATCCTTTCAACAACAATAACAATAATAATATACAGTAATTATTAACTTACAGCATTAACAAAAGGATCATATGCCTCCATCACAATGTAAGCCATAGTGGTTCCAGAGTCTATTAGAGTTCCTCCATTGCTTGTACCAAATGATTGCGGATCAATTGGTACTAGTTGCTCATTTATATAAATACTCTGGAGCTCCACACGGTAATTTGCACTGACAATTTGAAGCACGTTAATTATATAGCAGATTTTTGAGAAAATACATTTCTATCTAAAGAATTGAATTGAATCATGATTTCTAATGTCAGTAATGTGCGTGTGTTTATGTGTGCGCATGAAAAACATATGCATTATATATGCATCCTAAGCTACTTTTTATATTATAGTGTATAGTAATTGTTTTAAAATTCCAAAATAGGAATATCATGTTTTTTATTCCCTGAATAGATGTAATCTGTCAAGTTTGGAAAAAAAAAATGCCATGTTTTAAAGCCTAATAATGACAAACTTGGCAGAAATTTACTCTTATTCAAGGAATAGAAAACATGATACTCCTATTTTGGAATTTCAAAACTTTTTTACTCTTATTTAGGGAATTCTCTCAAAAGAAAATGGGCGAGACAGATAAACTGATAAAAACATACCCGGGCACAATTGGAGTGTAAATAATATTGGGCTCCACAACCTGTCCAAGAACAAATGATCCGCCGCCAATTCTTTTGAAGCAGTGAGAGAATACGGCGGACATTTGGTTATTGCCCAATCCCAATACTCCATCAAGTGTTGCAGTTTGGCTTTCTTCGCCCTGCCGCTGAGTTGCACATCTGTCAAGTTAAAACAAATAAACAAGTGATAAAAACAAAGGCACTTTAATTAGTTCATGAAGCTTTCACAAAAGATTTACAACAACTATTTCATATTCAACAAGACTTACCCAAAAGTAATTGGAGTAGAAGTGTTGATAATGGAAGTTCCAACTCTATCTTGCTCTTCATAGAGGCTTATTAAATTAGTACTGTTTGTTGGGATTGCCTTTTCCGAATTGAAACTCACCATTCGTCCATCACAAACAAGTGCAAATACAACCACCGTAAGTAACACCAAGTGCATTTCTTGTCCTTCCATTGCTCCTTTTGAATCATAATTGTACAATGCACACATTAAGAGCTTGAATTTGGGGGTTTAATTAAACATATTGTGCATCTTCTGATTATAACTAAGTTCAATGTTTATGATCGTTGAATATAAACAAATCTCATCAAAATTTGAAATATATATAAAAAATCTTCACAACTTTATGTATGTTTCACCAAACAATATATTTGATGCATGAGATGATAACAATTTAGGGCTAGCTTAACAGAAATTTGTCTTCTAAGCTTTATGTTTAAAAGATTTGGTTATAACATAAAAACACGATCTCACCAATATCAAATGTTTTCAAAGAAAACATATACGCAATATAAAATTAGAACCTATTCAAATGTATATATGTATTTACCATTACTCTTGAGTGAAAAGATCCATATATATATGGATGATTGTCATGTTTTTTTCTGTGTTCACTAACTATATATATATAGACTTTATAGTATCTGCTCTATATATTAAATGCAAACATCCTTGAACTGGCATGTGTTTCGACCATGTGCCTCCTCTTTGGGAGGGAGTGTCACAGTAATGTCATCGAACCACAAGTTCGTTGTTTGACATATTTATGTTCATTAAGAATAATTTTTAATAGATGATCCAAAATTTTGAAACGTTTATCTATTAACTAAATTTCATTAAATAACAATGCATGTTGCAATAGTAAAAAGTAGTTAATGACTTGGCACAATATATTTTATTTTGTATTGTATATACAAAAATACAAAATAACATAAGGATCTTAAAGAGTACATAGAGATATTATTGTAATATTTCCTTAATTTCATATCTTAAAGACTGAAATGGTGAATGTTGAAACTAGAGAAACAACCCTTTTTTATCAATCAATTGCTTAAAAGAAAGACAAACTTCGAATGATTCATATGCACATTGACTGATTAACAACACATGAAAATAGTTCATTTCAAAATCAAATAATCCTCCTCATTTCTTTTCCATTAATTAGTTCTAAAAATGATGAGACAGAGGGGATTCAACTAAACGTCAAAACCGCTATGTTGTTGGTGTGTGAAGCTGGTAAATTTTGTGGTATTGCGCATTTTTATTTGGTAAAAATTGGTTTCCATATCAAAATATCCATCACCCACTGAAAGGAATGTGGGTATAACAGAAAATGTCCAGAATGTCATAAATCCCGGAATAAGGAATAAGGAAAGTGAAAGTAGTACAGGCCTTCTTAAGAACAAATATTTCAAAAGAGCTATTCTTAATACCTAACATTAGAATGAAGGCAATGACTCTATGAGATTAGTGTTGAAATTTGATGTGGACAATATAAAACAAATGAAGGGAATGCCAATGCAATCAAATCAAAGACTAAACAAAACATTAATATCTACCTTCGTTGAAGGGTTCAATGATCTTTAAGCAACTGGGGAGAGAGGTGGATTGTCTTTAGATATATGTGTTGCTGCCGACCACTTGATAGGTTGTAGTATGGCAAAAACGTAGGATGAGAGCTAGAAACTTTTTGTTGCTACCCTGGTTTGTCTCTCTCTGTTTTCAGCTTTTACTTCTCACCCCTAAGCAAATTCCTCAACGATAAGTTTTATCTGACATGTGCCACAATCCAATTCTATCTGCGCTTTGTTTCAATTCAATCCTTATTAACTTGCACTATGTTTCGAGCTGAGCACTAACCTTTAGAGTTTTCTGTCTAACTAAAGTAATTTTAAAATTTAAAATAATTTTTTATTAAATATTACTAATATTAAATTTAAGAAAAAATGTGACCAAGGTTAAGTATGCTTTTATTGTTACTCCTATTATAGAGGCATCCTCGGTGTACCCCAAATAATTTGTACACAAAGTGTACACTGTTTGTGTACACACATTTTGACAGAAAATCCAGTCATTTTTCAAATTAATTGTTTGGGTACACGGTCAATTAGGGGGTGTACAAATTCATGGTACTTATAGTATTTTTCACTATTATATGGAATTTGAAAGTAGATATAGTCACTAAAATTTACTATGTCACAATTTTATATCTATTATCTTTATTTTTGTTCAAATATTAGGAGTTATTTCATTTAATTAAAAGTATCCAAATTAGACTAATTTCATAACCTATAATTATCTATTCTAAAATTATTCAAAGGTGTGCTTTTAAACAAAGATAATTGAAATCTATATCGGAACATATTTTAACATTGTCCAAAGTTGTTTGTCATTGATCAAAAAAATTTAATTTGGCGAACCATTTCGGGATGGAGGGAGTATATAACAATGATTGTGATGAATATCATTATTATTGATATTAAAATAGAAATAATAATAATAATAATATTAATAATACTATTAATATTAATAATAGTAATATTAATAGTGATAATAAGAATAATAATAAAAGTAATAATAAGAATGATAGCTTTAACCTAGGGTTTTTGGTTGAATGATGTGGCTAAGGGTCTGTGTTGAAAGACTTAAGGTTGACAAATTAAACTGAATTTGAAGTTTGCTCTTGGGATGTCAGCAACTGCAATAGATGTGGTGGGAAAGAAGAGTACCCATTCATGCCTATATATAGCACGAAGCTAAGAACATCAATGCATGTATAGTCCGTACACTATCCATCTACAACTTAAATACATCAGACATCAGACATAAAGATAAATACGGAGTACATTTCTTCTTAATCATTTAGCTTCATACATTTTAATTTACTTGTATTAATCTCACCATGCTTCACACTTTGACATAACAACTAAATTTACAATTAAGATGTAACTCGCGTATATTAAGATGTAACTCGCGTACAATAAGATGTAAATCGTGCGGAAGAAGATTTAACTTCATGATATAATATCAAATGTAACTTCAGAAATCAAAATAAACAAACTCAATGTCTTAAAAACCTCTAAAAATATATAAAAGTGATAAAAGAAGTTATATTATAGAAAAAGTTTGTCCATATAAAAAATATAACAAAAAAGTGTGTGAATATAAAAAGTACATTACAAAAAAAGTATATGAATATAAAAACTAATACAAAAACAAAAATAGTGCATGAATATTAATTGCAATATACTTATTTTATTTCGATTAATAAACTTTTTGTTATGCATTGATAAAAAATAAAAAATATAGATTCAATTATAATTTGAGATGGAGATGGAGATAAAAAATATAACTTTGTGTTCGATTCCTAGTTGGGTCAGCTTTTTTTTTGTATTTTCCATCCAAGTCCAGGAACATGCTATCTTACACAAATCAAGTCTGAATTTTAAGTTTTGAATACTAGGATGCAAAAATTAAGTAGTCCAACTAATTGGGCTTTATTAGTCTGAAAAACCAATTAGTTCAATTGATTGAGCTTTTTGAATATTGTCCTAAAAATTAATTAGTTTAATTCATTAGGCTTTTGAATATAGACCGAAAAATTAATTAGTTGAATACATTGGACTTCGTAGGTGAAAATAAGTTTTCTTTACATAGAGTATAGATTTTAGAGTAAAAAAAACGGTTTATCTTGTTTCCGAGAAACTAACCTAAAAATTGGCACTAAACATTTGGGTAACCGATAAAACTTCGGTTCGATATCTATGACTTTTAAGATAATTGTATTGTCGGTTCTGTAATATTCAATTTATTCTTTAACATTTCTATAATTTACATTTTGACTTCTAAGATATTATTATACTGTAATACATTTTGACATTTTTTATAATATACGTTATTTAATTAAATTTTGGCCCCACCTGAACGTAAATGCTAGATCCGCCCCTGATTGGTCAGCCCCATTCCATAAGCCCATTTACCCTATAGTTTACCCGGCCCCCTGATTCGGTTCCGCTTTTGTCTTTCCCGATTCTCTTCTGCGCTATTGGCCGATTCTTTCCTTCTTTGGCTTGTGCTTGTGCGATTAAGTCTTGATACTCTCCCATGGTAAGTTGCCATCTTTACCATCTGTGCATCTCCTATATATATTTGCATATTGCTTCCGTTTTGCGTAGCGAGTGACAAAGCCGAAACCCTATTCTCTAAATTCCATTTTCTCCTCTGTGAGTTTGCCGGAAAGAGCCTTGGCCGGAAAGTGGCCTGCTGGCTGACGCCCCTGTTTCCCCTTAGTGACTATAGTGGTTAATTTCATCCTTTGTGGGTGTGAACGTGTGAGACCTGAGCTGGATAAACATCTTACAGTGGTATCAGAGCCGCCCGCCGCCCGCCGCCGTCTCGCCGCCGTCGTACGTCGTCGCGGGAGGTCCAGGGAGTGTCGCCGGAGGTCCAGGAGTGCCACCAGTGGTCCAGGGAGTTCTGCCAGAAGCTTCCAGCCGTCCAGGGACTCTGCTGCCTCAGACCAAACCTGCTGCTGCCAGCCACGGAGCTCTGCCGCAACTCCAGTTCGCTGCCGCCACGCTCTACAGCAGCCCACGCTGCCTACGGTAAGTCGGGTAACCCAACCTCGGGCCTCGCTCAGGTAAATTGGCGTTAACCACCCTTGGTGTACCGGAGTGCCACCGGATTTATTTTTTTCCCCGCTCCCCGCTGCTGACCTGCGTGGTCTTGGATGTCGGCTGTGCCCGGCCCCAGGTACGTTTACTAATCCTTTGTGTGATTATTTATTCGTAGTTCATTCATTTTAAGTTCAAGTTTAAATTGCAATTACTTGTTTGTTTAAATTGTGATTACTTGTTGGTTTGTGATTAATTTTTTCCGGTGAAGAATATTTTGTTTGGATACTCGTTGTCCAAAATTGTGAATATTTCTTCCAGTTTAAATTTAATCACGTGTTGGATTTTTTTTTTGATTTTTTCTGTTGATTGATTCATGGATAAACTCTCCGGTTAAGAATATTTGTTTGGATACCTGTTGTCCGAAATTGGGAATATTTCTATCCGGATTAGTTTTAAATCCCGTTTCTTTGTTTGTTGATTTAATTCTAGCCTATTTGTGCTTGTACGAAAGAACAAGGAGATTGTACCCGAGCTTTATGTTCATTGGTCTTCTCGGCTTGTTCGTGCTAGTTGCTTTGTACAATTGATAGCCCTATAGGTTATAATAAATCATTTATCTGTCTGTTGAATAAATAAAAATTTTTATCTGTGCTTGTACGAAAGAACAAGGAGATTGTACCCGAGCCTTATGTTCATTGGCCTTCTCGGCTTGTTCGTGCTAGTTGCTTCGTACGGTACGAAAGAACAAGGAGATTGTACCCGAGTTTTGTGTTCATTGGTCTTCTCGGTTTGTTCGTGCTAGTTGCTTCGTACCGGTTGATAGCTTGATAATTTTTTTTATTTACTCTCTTGCGTGCTGTGCTTGCTTTCCGGTTAATATGGCTGTCAATCAATATGGCATGCTTCCATTTAACGGAAAGACATATTTTGATATCTGGAAACAGAAAATCAAATGCGTGTTGATCCAACAGAAAGTCTATAGAGCTGTGACCGGTCTCTATTTAGACTCTGAGGATGCTGTGAAACGCGTTGAAATGAATGAAACTGCTTGTTCCTCTATTTACCTAAACCTTTCTGATTCAGTGCTCAAGAAGGTGGGTATTATAGATTCTGCTAAAGAGTTGTGGGACAAGTTAGATAAGTTGTATACCGATACTTCTTTGCCTGGTAAATTGTTTTTGCTTGAGAAGTTCATTAGATTTAGGCTTGACCTGACTAAAGACATAGATGAGAACCTAGATGTGTTTAACAAGCTTATTCAGAACATTAAGCAAGCCGGTGATAAACACATAGATGACTACACACCCATAGTGTTACTTAATGCCATCCCTGACTTTTACAATGACGTCAAATCTGCCATAAAGTGTGGTAGAGACGATATCTCGTTAGATATAGTCGTTAATGGATTCAGGAGTAAGGAGTTAGACCTTAGACACTCGAGGGGTAGTAACAGTCAATCTAGGGACTCTGGTGAAGCGTTGCTTGTGAGGGGTAGGTCTAAGAGTAGATCTAGAAACCATAAGAAGGGTAGCAACAATAAGAACCAGACCAATAACAATGACCTGGGGAAGAAGAGAGGTAAGTCTAAGAAGAGAGTGTGCTATAATTGTGGTAATTCTAGTCACTTCATTAAGGATTGTCCCCATCCTAAGAAGTCTGAACATGCTAATGTGGTAGATGATAATAACTTGCATGAAGAAATTTTTATGGTCTGTGATTTTGCAAATTCTGTGTTGAGTAGCATGACTGAAAATGAGTGGTTGATTGACTCTGGTTGTACTTATCATATGACACCTTTTAGATCTCTGTTTGCTTCTTATGATTCTTGCAATGATGGTTTTGTGTCTTTTACTGATAATAAGAAATGCAAAATACATGGGGTGGGTGATGTATGCTTGAAGTTTGATAATGGGACTGTGTTTACTATGAAAAATGTGAGGCATGTCCCTGATTTGCGTCATAACTTGTTTTCTGTCGCTGCTTTTGAGGGTAGTGGGCTTGATGGTAAATGGGGAAATGGGTGCATGAAAGTTTTGAAAAAATCCTTTGTTTTGTTTAAGGCAAAAAAGGTGAATAATTTGTATGTGTGCCATGCTCAGCCTTTCTGTGATTCTGCTCATGTTGTTAGTTCTGATAAAACAACTTTGTGGCATAATAGATTAGGACACATGAGTAATAAGGGTTTAGAGATTTTGCATAAATCTGGTTGTTTTGGTAAGGATTCTGTGTCCTCCATCCCTTTCTGTGAATCTTGTGTGTTAGGCAAGCAGCATAAGGTTACATTCCCCTCTTCCCCTTATCCCTCTTCCCCTTATCCTAATCCCACTAAGTGTACCTCTGTGTTAGAGTATGTTCATGCAGATGTGTGGGGTCCTGCTAGTGTCTCTACCCACGGGGGTAAGAGATATTTTCTGTCCATTATCGATGATTTTTCTAGGAAGGTGTGGGTCCGTCTTCTTGAGCATAAATCCGATGTCTTTGTGAAATTTAGGGAGTGGAAAACCCTTGTAGAAAATCAAACCGGTAAGATGGTCAAAACCCTTAGGACCGATAATGGATTAGAGTTTTGCAATAAGGATATGGACAAACTTTGTGTTGATTGTGGGATTAGAAGGCACAAAACTGCGCCCTATACTCCCCAACAAAAAGGGATAGCCGAGAGAATGAATAGGACTGTTCTAGACAAGGTTAGGAGCATGCTTACTACCTCCGGTTTGTCTAAAAAGTTTTGGGGTGAAGCAGTCAATACTGCTGTCTACTTGATTAACCGGTCTCCTTCTGTTCCCTTGGGTGGGAAATGCCCTGAATCTGTTTTTTCAAACAAGCCCCTTGATTTGTCTAATCTTAGAGTGTTTGGGTGTGCTGCGTATGTGCACCAACAAGGTGACAAATTGGATCCTAGGTCTAAGAAAGGAGTCTTCTTAGGTTATCCTGAGGGTGTGAAGGGGTACAGGGTTTGGGATAGGAACCAGGTAGGTTTCAAGGTTGTGGTAAGTAGAAACGTTGTTTTCAATGAATCTGAGTTCCCTTGTCTGGTTAAGTCAGTTCCTGATTCTGAGTCGAGCCCTAGTAGTACACCTCTTGAGGTGGAGTCCATACCATATGCTGCTAATCATGATTCTTCCAATTTGCATGATTCTTCTGAATTGCGTGATTCTTCTGAGCATGATAATACCACCACTTCGAGTGAGGTGAAGCATTCTCATGTGCATTCAAATGACAATGAATCGCATGATGAGAGTGCCGATTCTAGTGATAATGATTTGCATGATTACCAACTTGTTAGAGATAGAAGTAGGAGAGAAATTAGGAGAACTACTGATAGCATGCCTGATTTTGCTTTCCATGCGTGTGATACTTCTATGTTTGATTTCTCTGTGTTTGAGACCCTTGAGCTTAACGAACCTAAAACCTATCGGGAGGCCCTTAAGTCTAATGAGTCCGCTAAATGGCTTTGCGCCATGGAGAGTGAGATGGATTCACTTAGAGCGAATAAGACTTGGACGTTAGTTCCTAGACCGCCCAATAGTTCTGTAGTTGAGTGTAAGTGGCTATTTAAGGTTAAGGAAGAGCCTAACGACATTAGATATAAGGCTAGGTTAGTAGCTAAGGATTTTACTCAAAAGGAAGGTGTTGATTATGCTGAAATCTTTGCTCCTGTTGTTAAATTCAATACGATTAGAATGATGATTGCTCTTGTTGCTCATAATGATTGGGAAATGAAGCAAATGGACGTCACCACTGCTTTCTTGCATGGTGATTTAGACAAGAAAATCTATATGACCCAGCCTGAGGGCTTTGTGGATCCCATGAAGAGTAATCATGTGTGTTTGCTTAGGAAGGCCTTGTACGGCCTAAAGCAGTCCCCGAGGCAGTGGAATATCAAATTTGACCAGTGCATGTCATCTTTGAAATTTCACAAGTCCGAGTGCGACCATTGCCTATACTTTAAAAATACTTCTTCTGTGCCTGTATTTTTATTGCTTTATGTGGATGACATGTTGATTGTTAGTCCTTCGGGTGACGCCATTAAAGGTGTGCAAAAGCGTCTCAGTGAGAACTTTGCAATGAAAGACCTAGGTGATGCCAAGAGGATCGTAGGCATTAACATTGTTAGGGATAGGAGTAAGCGTGTGTTAGTACTCAATCAGATTTCATACATTGAAAAGATTTTGAGTAAATATAACATGCATTCTGCTACTACCGTCTCTATCCCTATGGCATCCCACTTTGTGTTAAGTAAGGATCAGTCTCCCAAGACTGCTCCTGAAATTGCTAAAATGAAATCTGTACCTTATTCCAATGCTATTGGGTCCGTGATGTACCTCATGGTGAGTACTAGACCCGACATTGCCTATGCTGTTAGTTGTTTGAGTAGGTATATGTCTAATCCTGGTTTACCTCATTGGAATGCTCTTAAGTGGTTGCTTGGGTACTTGAAATCTACTGTTAATCATGGGTTGGTTTTCACTAGGTGTTCTGAGGGTGTTAAGTTGAGTGGGTATGTGGACTCGAATTTTGCTAACGATAGAGACAATAGGAAATCCACTACCTCTTATGTGTTTACCCTTTGCGGGTCTTGCATTAGTTGGAAGTCTCAACTTCAACCCATAGTTGCCCTTTCCACTACTGAGTCTGAGTATGTGGCCGCTACCGAAGCTTTCAAGGAAGCCATTTGGCTTAAACGTCTCCTAACGGAGATTGGTAGTCTTAATCAGGATATTTGTGTGTTTTCTGATAGTCAATCTGCTATTCAACTGTGCAAAAACCCTGTTTTTCATGATAGAACTAAGCATATTGATGTTAGATTTCATTTTATACGTGATATTGTTAGTGCAGGTGATATCAAGTTGATTAAAATTCCGTCCGAATTTAATCCTGCTGACATGGGGACTAAATGTCTCTCTGTCGAAAAGCTGTTGTCGTGCAAATGCACGTTAAACATTGATTGCGGATAAGTTGCCTGGTGATCTTACTCCTTTTGCCTGAATGTGTCTTTGTGATCATTTGGGCAATCCAGCGATGATGAGTCTCAAATTTGTGTTAGAGTTTTGACTCTACACCACTATGGTCCAATAAGGTGGAGAATGTGTTAGGTATTGGCCCAGCCCATTCCATAAGCCCATTTACCCTATAGTTTACCTGACCCCCTGATTCGGTTCCGCTTTTGTCTTTCCCGATTCTCTTCTGCGCTATTGGCCGATTCTTTCCTTCTTTGGCTTGTGCTTGTGCGATTAAGTCTTGATACTCTCCCATGGTAAGTTGCGATCTTTACCATCTGTGCATCTCCTATATATATTTGCATATTGCTTCCGTTTTGCGTAACGAGTGACAAAGCCGAAACCCTATTCTCTAAATTCCATTTTCTCCTCTGTGAGTTTGCCGGAAAGAGCCTTGGCCGGAAAGTGGCCTGCTGGCTGACGCCCCTTTTTCCCCTTAGTGACTATAGTGGTTAATTTCATCCTTTGTGGGTGTGAACGTGTGAGACCTGAGCTGGATAAACATCTTACACAAACCAGATCAGATCAGACCAATTCAGATTACACCTGATCAGACTTATATATAATTATAAAATACACAGATACCAGACATTTACCATACCAGACATAACCGGACTTAAATAGACCTGACCAGCAAAATTCAATCCAAGTAAAAACATTATTATTGAGATATTGTGAAGTGTTTTGTGATCGGATAGAACCTCATGTCTAAACACCTCAGATCGTAAGTTATTACACTCATGGTAGTTACTAACTTACTATCCCATTCCATCGATAGTGTATAGGCACATGTTACGGGGTATGAGTCAATGCGGTGCGATGTATGTGTTTAATAAAATGGCTAATTAGAAAATTTGGTATATCTTGAATTGCTTCCCAACTAAGATTCCATTGACTACGGCTAGGGTTTTAGTGATTATGATTTGGGTTCGAGACTTTGAGTCGCACACTCACACAAGCTAAGGTTCTCATGACTTCAATTCAGTTATGAGCCAGTGACTATGGTTGCGGCTACAATGTATTGAGCGTTTAACGCTAACGAGTAACGAGCTACTCCGTATTTTCAATTAACAAGGGGTGGGGTGGGGTCATCAACGGGATTTTGATGGTGACTATAGACTACGATTTTTTTTTGATAATCCAGGTGTCGGGGCTTACGCTCCCATAATCCTGGAGTCTATGAACTACCCTCCAAAACCCCTAAACAGTTAAATCCGGATCTGATCACAGTCAACCTCGTCAGTACTGGCTCCAAAGGATGAATCCAGCAGGACTTACATCACCTTTCAGGCTGCTCCTCCCACCACACGAACCCGCTACCTTCATTACCATCATCTCCCTTCTCAGCCGCTGAGCAACTCCGTGAAGGTAGGAAGAATCATTGGGAGCAAGACCTCCCTCATCTCCCCTTGGTGGGAATTGAACCCAAGACCTCCAATCCCACAAAGGAGAGACTTGGGGTGGATGGTCATTCATTGGACTACACCCACCTTCCCTTCGATGACTTTTGTGATTGGAGAGTGGACCATTAAGCAGTGGTGGTGGGGTTGATGGGGTGAATGGTGACATTAGTTACTTTTATTGTTAAAATGTACTATCGTATTATTGTAAAAATAAATAAAGGTAGTAATTATTGTGATGAGTTATAGGTTTGAAAAACCAAAAAAGAGTCATAAGAATCATATAAGAATCATGAATATTTTCACATTTTAAGTATATTTAATTTGTATATATACGTTTTGAATATATTGGAATAACATAAGAATCACAAATACGTGTATATTGGTATTAGAAATTGCTCTAAATAGGATCAAAAACGTTTTGAAATTTCAAAATAGGACTATCATGTTTTTTATTCCCTGAATAGGAGTTATCTGCCAAGTTTGAAAAAAAAATGTCATGTTTTAAAGCTTAGTAATGTCAAACTTGGAAAAACTTTACTCATATTCAAAGAAAAAAAAACATGGTAGTCCTATTTTGGAATTTCAAAAGTTTTTTACTCCTATTTAGGGAATTCACCCTATTCGTATTCGTATTAGAAATTTTTTGAATAACAAAACTGATTCATTTTCAAATTTGTATTTGATTATTACGAATTCGAATCTACAATTTCGAATTAGAATCGCATGCTGGATTAAAATTATTCGATTCGCTTACAACCCTAGTCTGCAATGCTCAATTTACCCCTGAATTAAAAACAATAATCCAATTCACACCTTGAATTTGATAAAAAGATTCAAATTTCATTTTTACAGAAAATTGTTCGGTCACATCCGTGTCGTTTAAAAGTGTCAATTGTGCATCTGATGGAAACTTGAGGGGTCACAATCCAATCAAGTAATAAAAAGAGTGAAAATTGAAAAAATAGAATATATATATATATATATATATATATATATATATATATATATATATATGTATGCAATACAAGTCCAAAATATAAATATAGACATCTATAAAATAATATAAATAGAAACTATTTATATTTAGCTGTAAACTCAAAATAAAAAGTAAAACATAATCTAAAAGAAATCCTTTAAATTTATTTCCATATATTATATTTATATTTTATGTATAGAAGTGGGATCAATGACTAATTATACTAAGCATGTACATATATATACATCAGCTTCCCCCTGCAAGCTAGCTCGGTGTTGGAGGCAGAACTGAAGGCGATTCATCAGGCGGTGAAGTGGGCGGCGGATGAAGGTTATGAAGATATATTTGTTGAGTCGGATTCCTCCTTGGCCATCGAATACATCGCAGGCAGGAAATCAAGAAGATGGAACGATCTGATTTTGGAAACCGCAGAGAAGGCTTTTAGGAAAGGGTTTTTGTTCGGTCATCACCTGAGGGAAGGAAATTGGGTTGCCCACTACTTAGATGAAATGGGCTCCTACAATAAATTTAGCAGCCCAAATCAATTACCCATTTGTGCTAAACAGGCTTATTGGATGGACTTCTTTGGTATCCCTTCTATTCGTTTTTAAATTCTGTTTATGTCTTTGTTTTTTGTAGAGAGGCTTTGGTCTGGCCCTCCTCTCATGTAATACTCTGCATCTAATAAAATCCTGGTAAATGACTCCCGACATTTACCCCACTGATTTTGGTGATTTGCCTTCCGGGATTAAAAAAAAACATTAGCTTACTTTATACGGTATAAAGTAGACATAATTAGTGTGTAGCATATACAAGTATATTAAATATTAATATAATATATGTAGTGTTTACATACATATCTATATATTAACTAAATAATATAAAGATGTAATTACTAGTTTATATTTTAGTTTTAATACAATATAATTTTTTATGGTGTCTATATTTAGTACGAAGTATAAAAGTAAATAATCAAATAGTACGAAATATATATGAAATGAACAAATATTAAAAAAATTAAAAAAATGAAATGAAAATTATACAAATGTAAAATATAAATATAATATAAATTATAAAACCACAAACCTAAACTATGTTTTATAATAGAAAATATTAGATAAAATACATAAAATAGTTAAATTTAGTTAGTAACAAAATATTGTATATAGTTTTATTCAAACTATAAATGTAAAATATGGAAATCGAGTTAAAGGGTTCCTTCATTTTTTATATTTTTATTTTCTATTTTAAATTCACCGCAAGATATAACTATTTCCTATTTATATTAGTCATGTAGTATGGGTTTAGGAACAAATATACCCATTTTCTATTTTTAGGAACAAATATATCCTTGAAGTATATGTTGAAGTGCATATATACCCCTGAACTTTTAAAAAGTGCAAAAATAACTCTCATGTTCTTATGAAGGAGCAAATTTATCTTTATTAACTTTAAATGGATAAAAAAAATTTCAAAAACACATAAAATAAATTAAAAATTCAAAATTTAAAATAAAGATTTATTGTTATGTTAAAATATGAACTCTCTAATTTTAAATTGCAAAATTATTATTTTTTCATCGTAAATGAAGCACTTCAAATTCATTAATTTTAATTTTAGTCTTGTTGCGAAATTTTAAGCACAATGTTATATTTTTTAGAACAACATTCTTTGAAGTATAGACACCATTTAAATTTTGAGCACATTGAAATTTTAGTCTTGTTGCGAAATATTTTTTAGTATAACTTTTTATGGTGTCTTTATTTAGTACGAAGTATAAAAGTAAATAATCAAATCGTATGAAATATATATGAAATGAAAAAATATTAAAGAAGTTAAAAAAATGAACTGAAAAATATACAAATGTAAAATATAAATATTAATTGAAGCAAACAGACTGACCAATATAATACTCATAAATCCTAATAAGAATCTATGGGACCTATCCGCACGGGTAGCTCAGTTGGTCGAGTGGTGGGAGATTTGGAACAATGGACCAAGGTTCGAATCCCCGCAGCGACCGGGTGGAGGTCACAGAATTTGAAATAACGCTGGGCCTCTGGTGCGCACGGGTGTATGGGTCACTACTACATTTTTAGACCTAATGTAACATTAGAGATGTAACATATCTATAATAGTGTTACCTATTTCTCTAATGTAACACTTTTTAGACCTAGTGTAACACTTTCTAGAAGTATAAGTGTTACATTAGGTACTATAAAGTGTTACAATAGGTCAAATGCAACACCAGCAAATGTAATGGTAAGAAAATGTTACATTTTCTCTATTGTAACACTTTTCAGAGAAAATGTAACATTGTTTTACCATTACATTTGCTGGTGTTGCATTTGACCTATTCTAACACTTTATAGTACCTAATGTAACACTTTTACTTCTAGAAAGTGTTACACTAGGTCTAAAAAGTATTACATTAGAGAAATAGGTAACACTATTATAGATATGTTACATCATTAATGTTACATTAGGTCTAAAAATGTAGTAGTGGGTCTACTGTCATTCTGCTGACTGAGTCACCGTGAGTAACCTCCCACCATCCTGTCGGGTCGGGTAGGGCTCCTGAGGTGGAAGATTCCACCTTTTGGAACAAAGAATCTATGGGACCAAAATAGCAAAAGTGAAAAAGGAACATCAAAAAGTGTACTAACTATAAACGACTTGACTTTGAACAAAAAGAAACAAGAGATCACCTCGAGAAATTAACTTCACTTGTCAGTTGTCATGCACTCATGCGCGCATGTGATATTCTAAAGTCAAGTGGCAGGACTTATCGGCTATCGTAGCTCCATTATATCCACAGCCCGTTTGATAATATCTAAATAAGTTTGATTGATTAATTTTTGCAGAGATTTATAAAGTTTTGACTGAAATGATTAAATTAGTTGATTCTGCTGATTTATGAAAAACTTATAATTAAAATATATTTTGTTAATTAGATAAAGAAATTTATTATATCAAAAATAGCTAAAATTATCATCTACAGTAACTTAAGTCAATATAGCTAGAAAAGTAACTGCAACCTTACTTTTTTTAATTATTACACAACGCGCAAAATCATAAGTTACGTATTTGGTGAAAAAGTGGGATGATAAGCCAAACAGGGTTACTCCTAGACTCCTAGTATATTAAAAGAAACTCAAAAGTTCAATGAGATTCACTCCCAATTATCCATATAAAGAAATTGACAAAATAGAAACAAAACAAAATTTTAAAATAGGATCAAGCACATATGTTCTCTCAGAATAGAATCTAATTATTTAGTCTTTTAAAAAAAAGTGAACAATAAAACTTTTAAATTAGGAGAACTGAGTCCTATTTTGCGAAGAAAATAATGATATTAATGCTTGAGTAATTACATAAAATTTTACTCCTGGCAAGAGAATTTTCAAATCATTTCCAATTGAGAGGTTCATTGCACCTCTACATCACCAAATGTCTTTTTTTATTATTACAAATGCTTTCTCCAATGTAAAAAAGTAGGTCTAATGAGGCTTATATGGGAAATGGAAAAGAACACATGGGTCTTGCCCAAGTCTCTATTAGGACCTTAGTTGCCGTTTCCCTACAAGTTAAAAATGGAAAGTGTGGGGAGATATGCACTTGCTTTATTTTGCAAAATCTTGCCTGTGATTGATGTTTGCCAACGTTGGGAAGCTAAAGTAGACACAAGAGGGGGCCGTATAGGACTATAGTCATGATCGAAGGAGCCATATTAGGATCCACTGCACATTAAATTTAGTTTGATAATGGTTTTAAATCCATTTGTAAAAAAATTGCTTGAATTCCTTTTAGAAATAATGACATGTAATAGAGTTTTCAATTAACAAAAATATGTGTAATTATGTTTTTGTACAAAAATATAATTAGCCACTATGTATTACTCCGTAATAATTGGAAAAGAGTTACTATAATGAATTTCAGAGTAATAAGTCACTGACAGATGATGAGTCACTGAGAAGTAGTCACTAAATATTTCACTTTTTTAGATAATTTTAAAATAAATCATGTTTTAGTCTTTCATATTTAATTTAGTACGGAGCAATATTTATGAAAAAACGTACTAAAATTCCCTGCCAATTTTACTAGAACACACAAAAAAAACAGTATTTGGTCGGTTGGTCCCATATGCATCTGAAGTATAATGAAGTGTCGATAGACTGGACTATGAGTGGGAATCTATAGACTAAAATAGATAAAAGGAAAACAGGAGTCATAAGTTTACCAAAAATTAGTAGGTAGATTCTATGGTACCCTTTAGGTACTATACTTTTGTCCACATGGACTAATCAGAATGATGTAGTTGAATTATTTAAATCTAAATTAAGAATGATGTAATTAATGATTTGAACCAATCAAGTGAGTGGTAGATACGGTACCCCATTTTTAAAATAGGTACCGGAGTTGTCACCTAATTAATATAGTCAGATAGGAGCGGATTAACATTGTTAATAATGGGGTCAACCATTTTTCTTGTTCTCACCCTTATATCCACTTTATACCTATTTTTATAAATGTTTGGTTTTATCCGTGAACGGGATTTACAGACAAAAAAGAGTCTTTCACATATATGGTTGATAGAGTATATCTAGAGAAAAGTGAGAGCTAGAGAGAGAAGTGCAATAATATGCTTCAATAGAATGATTTTGTAACCCTGATAACTACCTCCAGAGGAAGTATTTATAGGAAAAATACGGGCTGGGCTCCCAAGCCTTGGGCTTGGGAGGCCCATTTACAACTGGACCGCTACTGGGCCGAATACAAAGCCACTAATGGGCTGTTCAAATGAGTAAGTGTAAAATCCGGTTCTGTGAGGTCTTCGTGGCCGACGAGGGCGTGGCCGACGAGGGCACGACCGACGAGGGTGCAGCCGACGAGGGCACCCGGGTTCCTTGGCTTCAGGACCATATTCTGAGTTGGCACCTTTTCGGCCGACGGGGGTCCCTTGGCCGACGAGGGCACCACTCAGTGTCTTGTGCCTTCTGTTCTTCTGAGTATGTGGGTTCGGGGGCTCAGACCCATATACTCCATCAATGGTGAATACAAAAGTCGATATAAGGGTATGTACAATTTTTTTTTTCTAAAATCTGAGTTTTTTTATGCAAGTGTAGTCTACATTAACAATAAAGAAGTCACTAATTAGACATGGGATGGGGTGTTATCCTATTTTTGCATTTGACATGGGGCCCTCAGGGAATCAATTTTTATTTAATCAATTCTAAAAACCAAAAAAGAGTCATATACATTTTTGCATTTGAAAACACTACAAGTAATATAAATTTCATTTTTTCATACTAAATATAATCAATTTATCACTTTGTCATTGAGTAATATAAAGTTGTACGTTGAACTTTAAGTTTATATCCTAAAATTAAGTTGATTTTATATTTTAAACAAAACACTTCCTTTGTCTCACGAGACTTTGTCAAAAAAGGACTTTTCTTGCTCCATTATATTGAACTTTGGACAGTAATTTTTGTTATTATTATATTTGTGTAAAATTTATAAATTCTGTTCTTTTATGAAAGTATATTTAACAAAGAACACTTTCAAAATTTTCATATTTTAAATAATTCAAGTATATAAGAATTACGAATATTTTCACATATTAAGTATATTTAATTCGTATATATACGATTTGAATATATTATAATAACATAAGAATCACAAATATATGTATATTCTTATTCGTATTCGAAATTTATTTGACTAACAAAA